ACCTGGCACGCCTTCTGGTAGAGTTGTGGAAAATGTGGATTTTTCGAGAAATTCAAGGGCTTCTAGACCGTGATTTGCGACGCTTACAATACAACCTGCGCTACGAAGTTGCTTACTCAGGACCTAATGAATAGTTAGCTTGAAGGTCTGAAACAAAAAGTATGAGGTAAAAATCTACTTTTTGATTGACAATGTTATCTTCTACAATTAGAATATGTTTTGGTGTTGAAGAAGCCGGACTTTGAGAACGACGAGTTCTTGAAGGATGGCGCGTAGGCCCTTTAACCCGAGCGAGAGAATTATTCGTAATGATATTATTTTGCGCTTGAGCATCCATTTGAGGAACAAAAGAATCCTTATCATCAGGCGGATCGCATCGACGAGTTTGAATGTAAAATGCAAAGGTACTTCCAACCCCTGCTTTTGAGGCGACACCTATTTGACCACCTTGAAGTTCTGTAAGTTCTCGAGAGATAAAGAGACCGAGGCCGGATCCACCATATTGAACATGTGTTCGTGGTGAGGCTTGGGAAAATCTTTTAAACAAAAGGTTGCGTTCCGTTTCATCGAGACCGCGGCCACTATCTTGGACTTCAATATGAAGATATACAATCTCTCCGTCCCCCCATTCACCATCTGGCGTGTTGTCTTTGTGACTATTAGTTCTTGGAAGGTAGACAAGACCTGGTGTGCTAGGAGGCTCGAGCGCTGCGCTCGCTGTGATAGCGATATTCCGTTTTGGTTGAGTTTGTGTGAACTTGATCGCATTTGTGACAAGATTGATAAGGACCTGTACTAATCTACTTGGATCCAGTTTGATCCAGTCAATATTGAGTTCTTCGAATGTAGGTGATACATGAAATCTGAGCGCGACATCACTCTTCTGCAATTCTCCATCAAATATCTTTAGTGCATTTTTGATGATAGGTAATGGCTGTACTTCAGTAGGAGTGACGAATAATAAATCTGAATCCAACTTGCTCAGCGTGAGAATGTCATCAATGATTCTTTTCTGATGTTGAGCACATAGTATGATCGTCGAAGCTGCATCTGCGTATCCGTGAACCGCCTCTCTTGGAAGAACAATATCATTAGTTCCTCCATCAAATTCCTTGACCGAAATTCCGATCATGTCCGCACATTGGATGATGGCTGATAATGGGTTCCTCATTTCGTGTGATGTCATGTCAATAAAATTCTCCTGTTGACGCTTCAACTCAATCGCTTCAAGCATTTTCCGTTTCTGAAAGTCTTCGGCCCACTTCTGTCGACTGATATCGGTCAAGCAACCCAAAACTCCAACGACAGTACCATCTGGCGCCTTTTCAGGATAAGCAGCTGCTATTATCCAGATTGCGCCATCGATTTCTTCATCCCCGATTTTATCAGCCCCCTTGAAAAGTGCTCGTAACCGGATTTCAAAGGAGACAGGTTCCCCATCCATAAGTTTTTTCCATTGCACATCCACAATTGGCCAATCTTCCTCCATAATTATCTCGTACCAGCCCATATTAGTATTGGTATCTCTGTCATGTTCCGTCAGGTTATAATAAAGTTCGTTAGCATAAACTAATTTGCCATCAACGCCAGCGTGAAACATCCCAACGGGTGCTAGATCAGCCATTCTTCTGAAACGACTTTCAATCTCTGAGGCTTCATGAGCTTGAATTTCGAGTTTCTTGGAGAGTCGATTACGATCTTGGTAAGCATGTTCGGCAGCCATTCGGCCACGTTGGATTTCATCTTCAACAAGTACTGCCGCAGCCATTGAGGTAGCGAGTTGTCGACTGAGAAGTTGTATGAATAATCTATAGTCATCATCATATTTTCGCCGAGCATTGAGTCCAATGATAAGAAAGCCGAGAACGCTTTCGGTAGTAGCTCTAATTGGTAAGAAAACAACTGTATCCCATGCAAGAGTACCCTGAAGAGCAGTAGTCAAAGATGAAGGAATAGTGCCATCTTCTCGATGTAAGAGTGTAGGACAATCTGATTTGACAAGGTCGCTAAAACTGGGTAGAAATTCTTCCATGGGATGATCAGAATTTATATGTTTCGGTACGTTCTTCCCTGCACCGGGAAATCTGACAGAGCCTTCCAGTACCCAGTTGGAGTTGTGGCTTAAAGCCGAAGATTCCGAAAGGGTCTCGTTAACGTCATTACCGGCTGAGTACAACAAAGCAAACGGTAAATCTGGATGATCTGGTTCAAGCCCTCGTAGAAGCTGCTGCCAAAAGTCCTTGGGTTCTCGAGATGAAGCAATGAACTGCCCAAGCCGTAATAAAAATATCATTCTACGATCTGCAACTACTTGCCTAGTAGTGTCAAATACAGAATTGTAACTACATATTAAATTAGTGCCTGTCTCAAACCAACACAGGGGCAATAAAAATCCTGACTTACAAAGCAAGATGGCTACCGTAGCTGTTGCAACTGAAGGGTAAAATTGATAATGAATAATAGGTCTCCTCCAAGTATCCATGTCTTTCGATAAAGAACCTCGCATCATCCATAGTTGAAGCTTTACCAGTTTCATACGCTTTATTGAACGAATCGCTAAATGCGTCTTCAACTTCAGCCCAGGCCTCCGAGAAGGGTTTCCCCATCATCCCTGGATGCTTCTGTCCTGTGACTAACATATATGGTTCATTGTACATCATAACTCTGGTTTGACCCCAATACATTGCTGCGGGTCTTGGGTCTGACATAAGAAAATTGCACATTCTTCGTAGCTCAACCGGCCAAGAATCTATGGGGCCAAGCTCCGTAGATGACCAATCAAAATCGAGGAAGAATCGTACATGCGGTGACAATTCTACTATTGTGTCTGGCGCCAATATATCGAACGGACCAAGTGTAGTATCTCCCACTTCAAGCACCTCTTTCAAAGTAACTGGCTCTTGTGCTGGTGGAAATATGGATATTGTATCTTCCCGATGAAGCCGATATGCCTCTAATTGAGATTCGAGTGAGGATCTGGATGCGTCGTCAGATTTTGACATGCGTCGTGTTTTCTGTGGCGAGAGAGTTTGCGATCGTTGAATGGTAGGTTTGTCCCCGATAACGTCTATCCTTCCTCCTACGTCTCCAGCAATAACCCTCCATCGATCTCTCATTGTCTGCGCACTCCATCTCACTCCACAATATAGTGTAACAGATATTTTTCCATCGCTGAAATCACCTCCTGCCCATTCTAAGAATCCCCTGTGCTTTTCATCCTTTGTAGCCGCGCGCAGATCAAGAGATTCTCCAACTTTGCTTCCTAGCACTTGTAGTTCTTTCAATCGCGGATTCGTATAAACTGGCGTTGTATCATCTGGATTCGTGAGGTCAAGTATAAAAACCGCTCTTTCGTCTGATTCAAGTAATTCGAGAACTCCTATACTACTCAAATCATCTTGCGACCCGAGAGGACTTAAAATTGGGTCCACAGCTACCGTAGTAAACTGTGTTGAATCTTTCGATTCATCATCTGCTGAGGAGGTTATGCCGAGACCTTTGAGTATTGACGGCAGATGTTCCATTGCAAAGTTTTACTGTCACCTACTTAAGTTGTAAGTCTTTCTTACTCGGGCAACCGTTCTGGCCAGACACCTAATCCCAAGCCCTTCCTCCCTTCCAGGCCGAAAGTGATAGGTATAGCAATCGAAGGGCAGGGCACTCAGCTCTGGTCGAAAGGAGAGTCGAGACTTTATTGTTGTGTTATGGTGGGGTAGTTTCGTTACTCTGTTTGGGCAAGTATGATTGAAGATCACAAAACGAGGAACGCAACGAAAAGTTCTGATGAAACAATAGCGACATTCCTACAGGAGCAACATAGCGATAGACTGTTGTAAGTTGTAGACTGCGATAAATAAGAGGTTGAGTTACGCACTCCAAGTCGTGTTCTTTCTTTAGTGGATTCGCTTTCTGGGGAAATTTTGACACCCTTTCCTAAGAGAACATACAAAATACAAAACTCTTTTGTACGCAGTGGATACGAACGTGATAGAGTTTGACTAGACACAAAATCGTATATATCAAGAACTTCTCCAAGCTTTTTTCCTTTCTGGGAAACATCAGACGAAGCAGAGAAAGAACGGATACATTTCCCAGAATATGCGTATCAACCAATCCGAAAAGTTATCGGGAGTTAAAAAAGTCAAAAAACTTGCTAACTTTGCTTGTTCTGTGGGTCGGTTGCAGTCTAGTAGAATGCAAGGAAAATGGGAACGTTATATCTTCATCCAATTATCATCGCAACCGGATCTTGTTTCCATGAATTGGCGGTACATGCGGCTAACTTTACCCTCCTCCCTTCGTTCTCAAAGGAAGATCGAATGCCAATTGTGATCTGACAATCGAAGTCTTTGCATCTCAGTACCTAGGTATGTCAATGAAGAAGTGTGTGGAGAACAAGGAGAGATCATTCGAAATATCAATATTTCAGTGATGATTGTGCAAAATAAAGTAAAATATTGCTAACAATTCGATGGCACTAGATGTAAAGTATCTTTTGTATCTTTTTTCTTTGCTTGAGAGATGTTTTGGTTTTGAATTGAAGGAGATGCAAAGTTTGGAATTACAAATCTTGATATATATCACTGTCCGCAGGTGTGGCTGGTGTCGCCGAAGTTATTAAATGTTTTGTCGATCTATATGTAGCACAGCCACCCGAGAATCTTTTCGGGATGTTAATCTGTCTCGAGATATCTCTCTTATTATCCGTCTTTCTTTTGGCAACATTACTGATGCGATCAAGGCTGCTAGGGCGGCTGGTATGGCATTGTTCACTGTTCATAGATAGAATGCTAGGTCAACTTTCCAGCCCAGGTATCCTGCCCCGTAAGTAAAAATGAATATACAGGTAGACATACACCTTTTTGACAGGGAAGACTTATTAAGAGTTATGGTCAGAGGTAGATATAGTAATGCAAAAGATGCGGATCTATGATGAATGTATCTATTCATTGACAATACGTTGTACTTTAGATGTGTTTGAATCTGGATTCCTCTTTATCTCACTTAAATTCATCAAAAAATGCCACCATCTTCTCGTGAAACCAATCTTCTTCCTGGATAGGAATTGCATGCCCATCACCTTCTCGAATCTCCGCTCTACCTGGTTGAATAAATGCCATAAGTTTCTCGCCATGAGGAAAAGATATAAGTCGGTCGAGTGTGCCACTATGTGGGGTGTTAGTCTTTATTCAGTCATCAGAACATCCAATGTATCAACTCATCAATTGATTAAAATACTTACTGCATGACTGCGATTCTGTCTCTTCCCACTTTGTCTCCTAGTTCTTTCAATTGCGCAGGGCTCTTGTGGTGCCAACCAGCAGCAATAGCCTGGAGCAGAAACCCGTATGTTTTGAAAGCTTTAGGATCGAGTCGTTTGGTTAGTTCGGCAGCAGCAAAGCGCTCGTAGTTGGTAGAGAAGTGTGCATAGGGGAAAGGATGACCTGGTGGTGGTTCAACCAAGGGGGTCGATTCTGAAGGCAGGTGGGCTAATTCTGACGTTAGGTCTCTGACGCAGAGGAAGTAGAGTTGTGGTAGTGAAAAGAAAAGAGAAGAAAAGAGAAGGCGGGTATGGAGTATATCACAAGGGTAAAGAAAGTAACAACGGACTAGTATCTGGTAATGATAGCCACGACGCAGGAAATAACGACAACGATGCATCCAAAACAGATCGATCAAGTGGCTTAGGGACAAACATCATGACTCGTGTGCGCAGATTTTCAAAGAAGCTAGTTGTATTTTCGATATAAGGTGCTGTGGAGAGCAAGTTAAGAGTGGCAATTCGATTTGGTATCATCAATGCCTATATGTCAAATGAGTCTTGAATGGTGTAATTAATAAGATATTTGGAGACTCACCAGTTCTTGTGCAATCATTCCACCCATGCTAACCCCGGTGATGTTAAGTTGCCTGTCCTTCGTCCAACCTAAATGGTCGAGTAGCTCGATACAATCCTTGGCCATTTCCGAGGTAGAATATCGTAGGATGGGGGTGTCTGATCCGCCCATACCTCGATTATCGAATACCAACGAGGAATATCTATCTCCTCTTTCATGACCAAAGTATAGGGTTTGTCTTTGCCATGTTGACTTGTTAGAGCCTAAGCCCATAATCCACTGAATGAAAACTCCAGATTAGCATGTTGATGCATGAAACACGTGACCTAGTTGAGACCAAGTTTCGTCTATAAAGTAAAGTTTGCGGAAATGCAAACAGTGCCGGCGATAAGGCAGGGGAATGAACAGAAGCATAAACGATATTCATGTACGAGTCTCAGTACTCTTGAGCTTTGAGCTACCCATTCTTCGCTCTCCAGTCCGCCATGCATTTGCATGTGATATACGTTACACCAAAGTCCAAGATTGTCCACTTACCACAACCTTCGTCTCTCCACTGCCATGAACCTCCCAGTCTATCTTGAACGGCCCTCCTCTACCAACTCCAATCGGCAGCTTTCCACTCTGCGTTGGGGTAAGTCTCCATATTGTATCTGGGTAGGATTTATGTGCGAGGATTTCAGCCACACTTGGACGTTTATCAACGGGTGGTTCACTGGAAGAAATTGAAAATTAGTTCTCATTCCTTTGACGAAATTTCACATATCTTCGGTGCATATCTTCAATGCTTGGGGAATTATACGTTTCACTCATTGTGTTTGGAGGTGGGCTTGAGATGGCTTGGATTAGTCCTATATCTTGTCAATGTGTAAATGGAAGGAACCTCCGCCCAGCAGTAGATCGGAATAAGGTTATATCATGTGATCTTGCTCGATCACATCGAATAAAAAACTAATCAAGGTTAATCACAATCACAATCATTTCAATTGAAATTCATGAGAAAACTTCAGTTTGAAGCATTCTACGGGATTTCGATCTCAATCAAAAGACTTGGTGAATATGGGCTATGTCCCGAAACGTTTTAAGCATATATATATATGTTTTCAATTATTATTCGTTTTCGTAAAATATACATGACTATAGTCTACCTGCTTCTCTGATTCGATCAAGGTCTTGTTCTTTCGGAATTGGCATCTAACCTCCAGGCTGAACGATCATATGATGCCGGCCATACACCATTCTTTCCGGGTGCTAAAATACCCTTGGGGTCAAGAGCGTTCTTGATCTTCTCGTTCAACTTCATCTGCGCATTATCGTTCCAACCATAGGTTTCTGCAATCTGATCCATCAAGGCAATATGAGTTCTATATTCTCCCCATCCGTTATCGGCACAGACTTGAATGAGCTCACGGATAAGCTTGTGGGCGCGCCGTTTTTGATCCTCATCTTCACGGTCGAATACTAAGCATACGATATGATGCATTTCGCGCATACCGATGGTGAATGTTCCGATAAAATCAAAACCGGCCTCTAGAGTCATCTTTTGGGTGAGAGCATACTGCTTGCTTGCATCTTCACCACTGATCTTAGAGATAGGCGAGAAGAAAAGGTGAGCACCATTGGGTAGCCAGTCTACCCAGGCAATCTCATCAATCGTTGGAATACCTTGTAGGGTTTTTGCACGGATGTGAAGAACGCACTTCTCCTTGATATCTTCTGGAAGGAAGAATTTGGCACCTTCGATAGTTCCAAAAGCATCCTTAACCACTTGCCAGAGGACATCGCGTACAGGTTTGGGGCCGTATAAAGCGCCATAGAAGTTCCAGCGTCCAAGGTTGAGTTTCTTGGCTATGGCATCTAATTCTTCTTCATTAAGAGGACGATCAACATCGTAGTACGATTTTTTGGTTCCCATAACTCCTGCGTCAAGCAGAATATGTCGGATTGAAGGAACGTTCTGAATGACCATCTGCAATCGAAGGGGACGAATGACGTCAACGATCTTTGGCAAGTCGGCATCCTTTGGAAAAGTGATGAGATAAGGTTGATAACCCCCTGGATTTGGCATGAGCTAGGATTATCTCGGTCAGTATACAGTCGTGGCGCAGGGATGGAGGCGACTTACCCAAATGCCCATCTTCGTCACAATACCAAGGTTGCTTTGTGAAAAGATGCCATCGTTGTAGGGACCGAAACCATAAGGAAACAACTAGAATATGATGAGCTTGAAGTACTTTTCAGTTGAGCCCTTAGGCTAAGCATACCTGCCAACACTTGTTTCCTGGTTGTTGATCCAAACTTCCGCCCTCGACTGTTGGTTGCGTTGGATCGGGTAAAGCACCCATGCCTGTCCTGATAAGCTCTCCGGTTGGAAGCACGACCTCGAGACCGCAATGCATCATGAAGTGATCTGCTTGAAGCATCAGTAAGTGTCCCTTTCTCAGATGCAAAATATCACAAACCTCCGTATGGAGTATATCCTACACCACGCTCAATAGTGTTTCCAACGACAGAGCCACCACCCAAATCCGGTGTGTCAATCCATAGTTGATCGTCTAGCTTATTCTCCTTCAGGTAGTCGTATAGACTGAAGAATGTTACACCTGGCTCTAATAGCGCATATGCTCCTTCACTGTTGACTTCTAGCACTCTGTTCATGTTTTTGCCCATATCCAAACCGATGCTACCAGGAACTCTTGGAGCTGCTCCTCCGTATCCTATATTTCTGCCAATTGAGAATGGCCAAAGTGGGATCTCGTACTCATTGCAGAGTCTAACAATTGCTTGGACTTCTTCGACGTTGCGGGGTGCAATGGTGGCGGATACGACGAAGTAATCTTTGTCGAAGAGGTGGTACATATCGTGCGCTTTGGAAGGGTCAGTGTAGAGCTCCTTTGTGAGCTCTTCTTTCTTCTTGATAATGATGACATTTTCGGCACCAGTTGTTTGTTCAGCATGAGAAATGAATTCTGCGAACTTCTCTGAAGTAGTTCCTGGTGGCAGAGCAAGAGGATCGTTCGCTGCTGGTGCGGTAGCTGCGTTTGGTACACGAAGGGCAAGAGGGGCCGCCATCTCTTTTTGTTTGTGAGGAAAGAATGCAGATTGAGCTGTCAAGAAATGTGCCTTAAACAAAAACGAGGGGATCAATTCATGAAAAAACAAATAATCGGATACGCTACTCAAGAGATTTATATACTTCAAGAAACGCAAAAGTGCTTCCAACCTGCCGGGCTTGTTGTCTACTCTGGGCCTGTCTGCAAAACCACTAGACGGAGTAAGTTCCTATCGAAGAGACATGATCTTCCGCCAAATGTTGCCTTTCCGGTGGGTCATACGGGGAGCAACCCTCAATTCGTGGATAGCGACAATCACGCGGTAGTGGGGTTATTCTTTGAAACATATGGAAGAGACTACAAGAACAGGCGCTGACGCCAGACCGTCAGCTGGAGACATTGCTACAGAAATTCGAAAGTTGATCCATATATCGCGAAGGTGACAAGGAGGGGTATATGTAGCACCAGTTGTTGAACAGTGTTTAAACTTCGCGATGACATGCACTACTAGCATGGCGATACTACACTACAAAAGTTCCACGTTATTCTCCCCTCGTTTGGAAGCAAGCAAGCCTCGGTCCACAATAGCTCAACGCATTGTGGAGTGCTAGTAACACCTCGTTTATGTTACATATAGGGCCAATGCCCGTTCTCATATGTCTGTGGAGCTATGCACTCTGCGGGATGAAGATGCAGGTTTACCAAGTGGGGACTTGCCAATCTAATGCACGGCTTTCCTTTCCTCTTCCTTGTCACAATTTTATAGTGGATATGGAATTGGAAGTCTCCATCTTACTTCTCTCGAATGGTGCACATCTCTGGCATTCTGCTTCTTATGTAAGCTGAATCAATATGCATTAATCGTGTCATGAACATGGAGAGTCAGGAACTGCTTCACTTTCGGAACGATGAAGAGATTCCGCATTCCAATTGCGGGCCGGATACCCTGGCCCTTGCAACTTTCCTTGCAACCTATCAAGGGATCCTTGGAAGCTGCAGTACTCTGCATTTTTGACCTTAGCAATAATGACTGGATGGCACTTTTCCATGTCGATATCAAGGTCATTTGAAAGAAAAAGCAATTTTTACCCAGCTGGACGGAAAAACTGTCAATCACTTAATTTCCAAAAAATCTTTATTGAATTGGACTATCAATTTTCTCAATTATAAGTTGAGTGAAATGTACAATCTATAGCTGTTCTAAATTCTCTCAGATTTAGATTAATACTTTACATTATTATTCAATTTCGAAATGATAGTGTTGCTTTTCATGATTTTCGGGATTTGGCTGTTTGATGTGGCGACCAACTTGTCCAGCTGGAGCTTTTCCCAAAGGGAAAACACCCCAAAAGCAATGCCGGTGCAAACAGATCATTGGATTGTCGTAATTTACTTGAATTCACACCATATGGACCTTTCTTTCAGGGTCTCATTATTTATTCGTAGGTTTAACTAAGGCTTCTTAGTATCAACGGATGTGTGGGAAAGTTCGGGGCTTTTAAAGGACAATCGACTTTTATTAAGTAATGTAATTGCCGTAAGCAGTTCGTCACAATCCTTAATATTCAAAGGTTTCTGATCAGTGTTTAGTCTCCACATTCAACTTCAAATACGTATATAGTATATCAGTCCCTGATCCAATTCTGACACGGCTCCACTGAAAACCATTCCAGTAGCATCTCTTCACATGCGACTAGCCCCATCAGCTACTACAGAAATTCCTATCGCCATTGTTGGGACTTTTTTTAGGGTACCCGCGATAGGCTCACATCTTGGGATCGACTCAGCTCTACTTCATGTAATGCTATCCGCCACCGGGGATGAGCTTTCCCGTTGAATTCTTCGTGGTGTTTACTTGAAAGCAAAGAAGAAAACATGCAGCACGAGTTCCCTCAAAAAAAGAACCCGCCAAAAAGTGCCGCTCATCAACATTCATAAAATCTAACTTCCTACTTTCGGGCCCCTAGTTAAAACTCTGGTCAACATACAGACACTGAGCGAATAAGTAAGTTCCGAATTTGTATTCGTCATGAAGATCCCCTCTGGATCCCAGACTTTTGCTCCCTATGCAGAGAATTACTTTTTCAATCTTTATTACTTGAAGAAAGAAAGGGAAAGGTCCATATTTCAAATGGAAGCCCATTCTTCACAACATTTCGTATCCTTTTAGCAAAAGTTTGTTGACAAATACCGACATATATCTATACCAAGAGCAACTTGATATATTCACATCAATAGTATCGGACAGTACAGTTCTAGTGAAAAATCTGCAAAGGCAGTTATACGTTACGTCTAGGGCGTACCAGCCCGCTGGTACGATGGGTCACTTGTCAGCTCTAGGTCCTATCATCATCTTGGTGATGTGGATTGAGACATTCGCTGCAGCCGTTTTTGTAGGGCTGCGGATGTACACTCGATACTACATTGTTCAAGCTACGGGGTATGATGATTGGCTTATTGTCGCCAGTCTTGTGAGTGCCAACTGCCGACCTTCTTTTTGTCAGACTCAGCACTAACGAAGCAATTACCATAGATCTTGTTCGTGGCATATACCGCTTTCTGTACGGCGGCAGCTATCCAAGGATTGGGATCTCATTTTGCCGATATCACGCCTGCTCAGTTAGTTATCTCAACCCTTACAGATTAAACAGCCTATGCTTAACTCAGTTTGAATGTTTTGATTCCTATAACATCATTCATTTTATTGATAAAGGCCTGGTGCAGTTACTGCACCAAGCTATGTGGAAGGGCAAGAACTGATTCCCATGCGTTCTAGATTCGTCATGTCGAACAAGATGGAAATTGCTGGTCAAACATGTAATATCATTGCCATCGCCACCAGCAAATCCGCCGTAGCTGTCTTCCTCCTGCGTCTCGTCGTTGTTCCCTGGCATAAAGTCTTCCTCTGGGTTTGTATCGTCAGTACATTTATTGTCTGTGTCTCCTGCGCCACTCTCGACTTCTTCCAAAGTTCGCCCATTGCAGCGGTCTTTGATCCATCACTCCCTCACACTGTCAACTTCAATTTCACAGCGAATGCGATCTTCTCGGGAAGCTATACAGCGATGATGGATTTTACTCTGGCATTGTTTCCATGGTACTTTTTAGCGCCTGTTCAACTCAAAAAGAAGGAGAGATTGACTATTTCCTTCGGTCTCACGTTGGGTGTTTTGTAGGTTTTCCTGGATCAGGAGCTGTGGAGAACTTTTTGAACTTGATGCTGATGGAAGTTTCATTTAGTGCGGGAATGTGTGGTATTGTTCGAGCCATTGAGCTAGGAGGTCTGGCATCTCGAACCGATTATACTTGTAAGTTTTCAGGCATCCTTCACTAAAAATTACTATGATGCCAAAGAAACAAAATTCATACCACTCCACAGATGACACAGTCCCACTCATTCTCTGGGGCTCCGGCGAACTTCTTGTCGCCATAGTATGCGCCTGTATCCCCGTTCTTCGACCACTCTACAAGCGACTCAGAGGCCAAACGAAATCTTCCGACGAAGGAAGTGGTCCCTATCCCAACAAAAGCGGAAGTAAATCAGGGGGCGGATATGCATTAAGTTCATTGCGTCGCGATGAGTTCTCCGCGAACGAAAGGAGTCGAGGAGGTGGAAAATCAAGTCATAACATGCAAGTGAATAGTGAGAGGAATGCGTCGGGGATGGATAATGGAAGTGATGAGAGTATATTGAGAGAGGCATGGAGATTTGGAATTAAGGAGACGGTGGAGGTTGATGTTAGTTATGGGAGAGAGGGAGAGATTGACGAGGAGATGGGAGTTCCGCGGGGCGTGAGCGTGCGCGGGGGGAGTAGTGATGTAAGAGTGGGAGAAAGGGCTCCGAGTGTGCATGGCTTTTAAAGCCCGTCGATTCGAGGGATGGGTCGGGATCGATATGATTTTCATGGATGGGTAATGATGATTAGAGGGCCTTGAAATATACTACGGTACTGGCTGACATTCTTGGTGTTTGTATAATGATGTTGTGGCATCTCATGGTTACGTATTTGGATGGTTTATCAGAGATATATCCATGCAAAGATGGACTAAGGGATGATATAAGAATTCCCCAAACGAGCAATCGCATAACTTGTTTAATGTGTGTCTATTCACCCATCCATTCACCCATTCAAATCAACCACACCAATGACCATATCTCTCAAATCTTCCTCTCGCAAGAAAACCCAATCTGAAAGATTAAATTGTAGTAGCACGGTTCGCATACTGCTCAATTCATACCAGCTCAATTCAGCTCAGTTCAGGATCTTCACACAACGAAGTTATATGAACGGACCAGGTAATCATAAGTCCCCATCCCTACTCAAAGAGGGTTTCGGGAACTAAAAAAACACTAGAGACGGAGGGGCTTGGCAGAGGATAAGGAAAGGTACTAATTGGATATGAGGATGAAGATAGATTTTGGGTTTCGATTATCGAATTCTTAGGGGAAGAGTTGTAGTAGATTCAGAAACTAAAAAAGTTGTTTCGAATCGATGGGTCCCTTTATTGAAAACAGGGCTGCTTCAATAAATACTATTATTTACTTTGCATGGTATTTAAACAATACTATGCTAAAGTTTAAAAGGGGGGCGGACTGGGATTGCGGGCGAATTAGGCAAAAATGCTAAAGAACATACAACAGTGGGGATTCGCTGGTGGTCACCCACCCAACTACTAATCCACCGATCTGAAGCTTGTGTATGGCAGAGCGGACGGGATGCCCAATTCTCTTCAGTCTATGGTCGTATGTGTCAGAAAGCTATTTTTTAACAAATATATACGCTGATACATTGAGTGAGAGATGAGTAGCAACTGAGGGAGCGTTGCTAATGAGAGAATTGGTGAGAGATATATACTCTCATATTCCTGCTTCTCTCACATCATCCAAAGAAGGAGAGGAGAGTAGACCTGAAGACGAGTGAAGTCAGATTTCAATTTGAACTCATGCATGAAAAAGATAAAAAGGCAAAGAGTTCTCCTAAGTCCAACCAGATAAATACTTCACTCCTCCATTCCTAGTCCACCCCACTGTCCTCGACTCCTTGCCAATAATGAAATCACGGTTCAATTTCCACTCCCTGCACACCCCCAACTCTCGAGCTCTTATAGCGGGTCTCAAAACATCAAATAATTAAGTCTTGAGTATCCACGTCCCTACTGGCTGTTACACCCGCAAGATCCGGCGTCCTGAAATTCATTAGCACCGGGTGTGGAGAGTGGGGATGTGGAGCCGGAACAACGGTATGCCCATTACCCGCACAATTCAAACCCAGTTCCCTGCGCTGCCCAGTGGTGACTTGTAAGTATACCGTGGCCGCCGCTTCGTATATAGAAGGGTTCGTTTACCAACTGAACACCCCTCCCAACTTTGCTATACCTATTTCTGCGATGTTTTGACAGTATTCCTTTCTTCAGGGGCATCCAAAGTTGGATCAACCCTATTGAGTTGTTAATGGAACAAGTTTTATACGCATGAAGATTGAGCACCATAAGGGCGGTGACTGGATCGTTTCCTCACTTGCAGTATGAAAACATCACAAAAAGTCTCCATCTTGGTCAGAAACCATATAATCCAGTACATAACTTTGTAAACGCAGCACGCATAAACAACAACAAACAGCAATGACCTCACTCAAGGAAACCCTTGGTACAATTCCCGATCATGTCAACAGAAAGTCCTCCGTTTGGGTATTATCTTTCATGATTTCTCCATCCATAATCCCATGAACATAAGCTTCTCCAATTAACTCCCACCTGTCTTCACCAACACTCCTTATCACAAAAGGTTGGACCATTCCAAAGATAATGACTATAACATCCCCGGGTAATGAATGTCCAGGCACGAGACCTACATATCCTTGTTCTGATATAGATGGTCTCCGATTTTGCTGATAACTCATTGCATTTTTGTACGAAGCATATGCAGCCGTCTGAACACACCTTATATGTTCCTCAGTATTTGCATCAAATTCTTCTTCGCTCAAATGATTATCCGTAATACTCCTCGCATTATCGGAATAGAGTTCTATACTACGTCGAAGATCGTTGTAGCCCATTAAAGAGGTATGAGAAGCGCGAGTGCGGAATGTGAAGGAGTCGGTCTGGTCTGCGCAGGGGATGCGCCAATTGGCTCCGAACCATTTCATTCCGTCCTGCGGTAGCGGGGATGCAGCATCTTTTGCATTTAGGGTCTGAGCTTGCTCACAGAAATGTGTTATTTCATCAAAATATCGCATGGTATTGGCGTGGATTGCTAGGTATTCGTCGGTTGTACGAGATATGATACCCTGTCTGTTGTCGACAGTAAACAAACTTCCAATCGCCATAACAGTATCGACTCTAACACCTCTTAGTCCAATAATCTTCGGATCTTTATCTTCCGATGCAGGGACAATCGAAAGTTCAGATTGACCCGAAGCAGAGAAGAGAGCCGCTTTCTTAGTCTCACAAGATGGTTCTAGCAGCGTGTTTGTGAAATCTGGAGCCCAACTAGGAAGACCTTCCAAAGTTTTGGGTTGTTGATTCCATGCCAACAAATCCCCGTTGTTCTGTACCAACAGTTTTCGAGAAACAGATGTGAATATCTGTACTGTCTCTTCATCCGAATCGATGTTGGTATATATGGGCTGGATATTTAAAGATTGGGCATCGGAAGCCATTCCTAACAACCCATAAATTCTATCTCGAGGATATCTTGCCTTTCTGACTAGATCATTGGAGGCCTGGATACAGCCTCTTTCTAACAGTTTGACAAGAGGAGACCCGCCGGTTTTGCGATGATGTTTTCGCGTCCCCAGAAGTCGGTTCAGGCTTATAGGAGCAGTACTTAGACATCTTGCAATCTCTTGAAGAATCGGTGATACGATGGGATCATGAGCTGTTCTTTGGAGGCCGTATGTGTGAATGATCATTGAAGATTGCATGGCGAAGAAAATCCAAGCCGATTCAAACCAGTGATGAAATGGTATAGTCTTTTGACCACATGTTATCATCAACTCTTTGCCAAGGCAAAATTCCTGCATGATCCAAAGCCGGTTCCAATAATCTCGACTCCCTATTTCATGCCAGCCGATAAATGGGAAGTCAAGGCCAATATCAATAGCAAGTTGATACAGCGAGCGTTTTACATTAGCCAGCGGATCGTCTATTTTCGGACGATTAAATCCATATCCTTCTTGACCTTCTCGAACGTAAAATTCACAGTCTCTCATACTATCCACTGTAACAGAAAAAATCCCTGCATCATACGCAGCTTGTCCTATAGTCAGAGCCGCGTCCATAGCATCGTCGGTTCTAGGAGTTCCTTCGCCTAGAAACACATCCACGATACTGGCACAACTGTAGATATCCCTCATCAGTTTGATTTGTTCTGCCTTCTCCTCGGGATCATTCTGATTGATACATATTGCATCTGCCCAGAGAACCATCGGTTTTGTCGCATGCCGAAATGTCTTCAAAGCCTGTTCCAAACTAATGGTAACATCGACTTCTGTCTCATCGAGCAAAATTTGTGCTCGAGGAAGATCAGGGTCTCCCCAACAGTAAGACAAAGCATGATAGTCTGGGGCTTCTCTTAGAGATACTACGTGTAGAGTGCAGGAAACTATGGTAATGTCAGTAACTGTGATACGCATTTTTGTGATCATCTTTTCAATTACCTGTATCAAGCTGGTTGGGTAGCCTATCCGAAGTTGTCAGATCAGCGTGGCTCTTTGGGAGGATGTGTAGCACTCGAATTTGAAGTGCCTGAGAATTTATAGGAGTGTACTGATAAAACGCCATGTTTTCAAGAAGATGTCAATGTACGAGCAATAGAGATAATAGGATAAAGACTGAATTGCATCTGCGACTTGAGATTCTTGTTGAAACTCATCTTAAGCTCAGCTGGACACCAAGGAATGCCAACCGAAACCTTGCAGACGCCTCATTCCAATCGTTGTTACCGACAACTCAGCTATGCTACTGCGATTAGCTTGGTACTCGAAATAGTCGGATGAATAAAGCTATATTCGTGAAAAGGATGTGGTCAAGATATTTGTGATTGATGGCGATCGAGAACCTTCCGTTATCAAGCAATCAACAATCAGCAATGATCGAATCAAACCGCCTCCACGATATACATAACAACTGTTGTCGCCAATTTGGGTACCCAAAATCTCAATCCGGTTGAGTTTGATCTATCATAATGAGTTTCCTATCCGTTATAACGTGCCCCTTGTTATCATTTGAAAGCACGATGTCATCGTAGCCAGAGCCGTTGCATTTGCATTTGCAAAAACATCGCGCAATTATAAAGAGGTATTGTCCTAGTTTTGACAACTAGTATCAATCGAGCCCCCGTGTTACAATACTAGGAGGCGAATATATCAATCGACCTGGCTATCTTGGATATTTGCAATGGCCAGGTTAGGCCATCCTTGAGAAGTTTAGCCAGAAATCATCTTTATTCAAAATCTAAGACTCAATCGAGCAACGTAATTTGAGACCATAACCTCATTATCCGGCATGTATTGCAGCTGTTACAGCAATTCTCGAAAAACAATAGATGAACATAAAGCATTTAAGTTATTACAGTGAGCCAGGAGGATGTCGCAATAGCTCAAGAGGTGTTTTTGTGATGATGCTCTTTGGTAAGCTCCCGGTGAGCACTTGAATGTAACGAATAAACTTGGCGCGTAGAAATGAATGCAATGGAATGGAACACGGATTATGTAAGCACTCCGTCATCGACTGTCTCTTCGTAAACATCTTATTATTATTATTGTTCATCATAAACTTATGATACAAACTGATGCGATGTATCTGAAACAGAAGTAAAGATGGGACAATCTCAGTCTGGTACCAGTGATAAACATGTTACGACACAGCAGCTGAGTCATGAGCTGGTAAGTTTACGATTCAAGGAAGCTCCCCTCTTGAATCTCGAACCACTTCCTTTGGAAAACTTGTAATAATTGCTATTTAAGGCTCGGAAATTCGCAAAACGTTGCTTTACCCCGCTCAAATTGTTCTCATTCCAGGATGTTTTCAAGAGTCTTGCAGATCATCAAGATGGAGTCGCATATCTCAAAGAAGATACCATCGCACGATTCCTGGAGATTCCGGATGTACTAGGCGCCTCCCCGATTATATTCCAGATGGTATCCTACCTTGGTGCGTTTCCATTTGCTCAGGATGCGCCAGCAGTCTTGGGGTTTGAACAGATGATTATGGTGGTAGTGATTATGACGGAAAGATATCAGAGGGTATTGAAGAAGGGCAATAGGGATCGGACAAAGCTACTATTTCGAAGTCTGGCGGTATACGATAGAAGGGAATCTCGCGCGGGGATTGAAAACGAAGAAGATAAGACGGACACAACCTCTCCGCTAGCAGAAGGAGAGAGCACTGTCAAAAAACATGCAACAGGATTCGCTATCGATGAAGCTGTGAATGATGACGACGAAGAGGAAGATGATGATCTTGCTTTAGCTGCACTTGAGTCACTGGATGCCATTGAAGTATTTCGTCACGGAGATCCGCCCATAGCTCAAGCTACGATTCCATCCGATAATCTTAAAAAATTGATTATGCTACTCCTATTGGTAGCGCCCTTAGGAATCCAAGAGAGTTTAGCTCACCATACCGAAAGACTCGCCAGGTCACAATTAGAAAGTCTTCGAAGAACAGCGGACAACATTCTTGCAGCTTTTGTAAATGTGGAAAAATTCCCTGGCGTTAAAATACATCAATTCAACACTGTGATACCCATTTCATTGCCCTTTGTATTTAATGGATTCAATGCTCTGTTCGAACACTTCTTGTTCTCCAAGAACATTGATTTCACAAAACGAAAAGATTCTTCAGAAGCACCGCCTCCAATGCCTTTGAATGCTGAAATAGATCAGCCTCTTCTTCCACAAATAGGTGAAATACTGGATCTCAATGTTTTGTCGCAACTTTCCTTCTTCCTTCCCGGGGATTCTCTCTTCCGACGTCTTCGACTACTCTATTCCGGTGGCGATGCTGGATTCTCTATGGGTTCTTTCGAGACAAGAGTATTCAACTGGCGTGCACCAACTATTCTTTTGGTCGCCGGAAACAGAATTGAAGATTCTCCTACTGGTGGTCAAGAAAGGAATTTTGCAGACACGTTACCACCCAAAAGATTTCCCAATAGTGGTAAATCATCCCGAGTTGTCTTTGGAGTCTATCTCTCACAACCTTGGAGACAAACTCATAAAGAATGTTTTGGAGACACCGATACACTACTTTTCCAGCTCGAACCTGTTCATGAAGTCTTTCACGCTTCGGTAATTAATAAGGATTATGTTGCATTCTCCAAACCCCCATCAGCCCATCCATGTTTGTCTTTTGGATGTCCACATCCCAAAACGAAACAGACGGCCGGACTATCTACTCATGTGAATCTTGGCGCTGTATCATTATATCTAGATTCTTCTTTTGAATTTGGTGTTTTTACACACAACTATTCGTCTGGTGGAGGAGCATTCCACAACAGTGAGACCAGGCGCACAGATTTTCAAGACCGATTTGAAATCGAAAGTTTAGAAGTCTGGGGTTGTGGAGGCGATGCCGAAGCTCAAAAACAAAAGGAGATGTGGGCTTGGGAAGAAAGAGAAGCGGAGGCGAGGAGAAAGATCAATCTAGGAACTGGTGATATTGAAGCCGATAGGGCGTTGTTGGAAATGGCGGGGCTTATTGGAGGAAACAGGAGTGGTGGTTCTATGAATTGATGGGTTGAGCTCGGAGTTTTGGAAAGCATTTGGTAGGAATGGATAGGGATATTTGAAGCATGTATGGCGTGGAAACTTAAACATTCGGAGGGATGTGTTCTTGCGAGTTTGGCTAACTTCATTCAAATGATAGATCTGGGTTCCAGATACTTTGGGTATGAAGAACATTGCAATTTTACTATAAAAATGACCCATGACCAATGCTAGAATAAAATCGATAAATGAATGGAGTTTGTACATTCCCCTAACCCATAAGTTATACAAATCCGATAACCATACCAAACACCAAACCTCAATGCTATACTTCCCATACACATCCGCTTTAGTCCGCAATTACTACATCCCTCATTTCTTTCCCCATACCAAACCGCTCATCTGTCCCATGACTCCCCCCTTCGTCTTCTCGCCTTCCTCCACTGGCGCATCCGTAACCACAGCCTTTGGCGCCGGTCTTCCCTCCGCTCTTCTCCTCCTTTCATCCCTTGCCCTCCTCATCTCCTTCTCCTCCTCATCTCTGGCCTCTAATTCTCTAATCCAAGCCTCATTTTTCTCTTTCGCTTTTTGTTCCGACAATACTCCCTCAAATTCCTTGCGCTTCTTACGATCGGAATCCCAGTACATCGATCCGGCAACCATAGCTAAGAGAGTGAAACCTTGCGCGTAGATACGTGCGCGGAACATGCGTTGAGTGCGGTTGTGGTCGCCGGCTCGGATGGAGCGGGTTGCGCCGACGAGGGCAAGGGAGGTGAGGATACAACCTAGAAGGAGAATTGATTAGTATAAGAACATTGAGAGGAAACGTGATGGAGAGAGATGATGTACCCAGAGGAATGAGAGGCTCTTCTTTGAGACGACGGGTTAATTTCTGCCAGCGATTTTCTTCATAGAAATCACTATCAGGCCATTAGCTATGAATGAGTAAACAAAAGCTTTCTATGAGAATGTCACATACGTATTGCCATCGAAAGACGACGGCAATGGAGTATTGTTCGACATATTTATTGATCAATACTTCTTTGCGATACCAAAGTATTTTATAGATGGTGAATTTGTGAAGTTATCGATGTTCCAAAGCTTCATCAAAAGCTTTGCCCCTCCAAATGCATCGAATCAGAATGCAACCTTAGGTCGTGATATCATCGGAATTCAAAGTATCCCTGCAAAAAATAATTGGAGAGTATCAGCTCCGATATCGAAAGGTGGGAATCCAGCAAATAAAACAATATCAAACTTTATGACTCGATTCTCAACAACACCACAGAAATATACTCGATTGAAAACCAATCCATAATTTCCAGATATGGAGAACGGAACAGTAACAAATGGAGAGAAAACTCCAAATCACGCACGAACTCCGAGTCTTACTTCCTTTTCTTTGACGGAATATTCAGCAAATCCATCACCGCCATCAGAAAGTACAAAATCAAAAGTTAGCAACATCGTGCCACAGGAATTTATTCTGCCAAATGGATATCCTGATGTAAGTATGCCCGATTGCATTATAAGAGCTGTGACTGATCAATTGGTTAGTATCTACGATTAATCCTCACTTCTCGAGTTTATGAAGTCGTCAATGAGACCCCGCTCACTCCAGCCGTCAACCTCAGCAATCGATTAGAATGCAATGTTTTATTGAAACGTGAAGACCTGCAACCGGTTTTCAGCTTCAAATTGAGAGGCGCATATAATAAAATGGCACATTTAGATCCCAAAGTTAGTTGGAAAGGTGTAGTTGCATGTTCGGCAGGAAATCATGCACAAGGCGTTGCGTATTCGGCGCGCAAACTGAAGATGCCTGCTACGATTGTTATGCCTGAAGGAACACCCAGCATCAAACATCTCAATGTAACGCGATTGGGAGGATCGGTTGTGTTGCATGGGCCGGATTTCGATGCTGCGAAGGAGGAGTGCGGAAGATTAGAGAAATTACATGGATTGACGAATATTCCACCGTTTGATGATCCATATGTTATTGCGGGTCAAGGTACGATTGGTATGGAACTTCTCAGACAAACGAACATTCATAAGTTGGAGGCTATTTTCTGCTGTGTGGGTGGTGGTGGGTTGATTGCGGGGATTGGCGTTTACGTCAAGCGTATTGCTCCGCATGTGAAAATCATTGGAGTGGAGACGTATGATGCGAATGCTATGGTACAATCTTTGGCAGCTGGAAAGAGAGTGACATTGAAAGAAGTGGGATTATTCGCCGATGGAGCGGCAGTAAAGAACGTGGGAGAAGAAACATTCAGAATATGTCAAGAAGTCATTGATGACGTTATTCAAGTCACTACGGACGAGACGTGCGCAGCTATAAAGGACGTTTTCGAAGACACAAGATCCATTGTCGAACCAGCTGGAGCTCTTGCATTAGCAGGACTCAAGAAATATGTTGCGGCTAACCCATCTCCCGATACTTCTCGAAATCTTGTAGCTATTGCTTCTGGAGCAAACATGAACTTCGATCGTCTTAGATTCGTTGCCGAGCGTGCAGCTCTTGGAGAACGCAAAGAAGCTCTGCTTAGTGTCAGCATTCCTGAAACTCCCGGCGCCTTTTCTGAACTTATCAAAGCCGTCATGCCACATGCCGTCACCGAATTCTCTTACCGATATGCTACCGATGAAGTAGCAAATGTGCTCATTGGTATTTCTCTCACCTCCCCTGCATCTCAAAGAGATGAAGAGCTTCAATCTCTCCTTAATCGCATCTCATCCAGTGGCATGTCACCTACTGATCTCTCCGGCGACGAACTTGCCAAATCCCATATTCGCTACCTAGTGGGTGGACGTTCAGGAGTACCAAACGAACGACTCTACATGTTTAACTTCCCTGAAAGGCCAGGTGCGCTGGAGAAATTCCTCGCCACTTTGAGACCGAGATTCAACATAAGTCTCTTCCAATACCGTAATGCCGGAAGTGATATCGGAAAGATTCTGACGGGTATCCTGTGTCCGGATGATGAGGTCAAGGATTTGGAGAGATTTTTGAGGGAAATCGGATATCCTTGGACGGATTGTACAGATTCACAAGTCTTTAAGACGTTTTTGAGATCGTAAATTCTGATTTATGGGAAGATTAAAGGATTGTGATGATGAGAGATGCATGAGCGGTGAATGTTTACCATTTTTGGGCGGAATTATGCATTATATTAGCTCGGCGTTTTTGGGTAGTTCGTTGTAGATAAAAGTCATTGGACATGGCGATGACTTTATGGCGTTGCATAGATTATAATCAAAGATATCGTAGATTCCATGTGTGGTTCTTTGGTGGCTAAATTTTCAAATTGGTGTATATACTTGAGGAAAGAGAATTCTTTTCTTGACGTGGGACCGACCAGGAATTGAAGCCTCACCGGGAGTCTTCTGTTCGCAACTCAACTGTGTAAACTTCCTTTTGAGTCCATCAATTTTTTCGAAAATATTTCTCCACGGAAGGAAAAGAGTGTAGTGATGAAGTGATTGACAAAATTTTATTGTGAGGTTAGAAATTAAGGAATGATTTATTCTCTTGCCGTCTGGTAGAAGACAATCACATGCCACCGCCCACCTTTGAATCCGCAACTTCTTCTTTAGTCGCATACTTGTATCTGTATTCATATTGTCACCCAATTCATACAGGAAAGAGCGAAAAACAGCAATTTGCAATCAGTTGTTCTAGTCCAATCCAATCCAATTGAATTCAATGTAGTACAACATAATACCTTCATCACACAACGTCGAATGAAGCATTCCTTATCTCTTTCAAAGTCAAAACGCATGAATGTATGGTGATATAGAGCCACCCTCACCTGCACCCTTCCACCGGCAGTCGTCTCCTATCCTGTCAAGTAGGATAGGATAAATAGAATATAATGCATCCTCTCGCCTTCTTCTTCGTAGGATATCTCATACTCTTTATAACCGCCAATTTACACTCTCTCTACGATACATGGACCTCTTCAACTCTCTACTGCGTCCGCGAACCGTACACCATCACCACTCTTTCTCCTAATACTCCTAATCCGAAATGTTTCCGCGTTAGGATCGATGTAATAACCGAAATCCTTGAAAGAGTACCGAGCGCAGAGGAGGGAGAAAAAGTTGTTTGGTTGAATGGATACGTGTTGCCTGGGATTATTGAATCGCATGGGCATATTTTGCAGTATGGAGAAATGCTCGAGAGTGTGAGTTTGTATGAGGCGGAAAGTGTGGATGATGTAAAGAGTAGGATTAAGGAGTGGTTGGGAAGACACGAAGGAGAAGGTTATGGAGGTAGGGAGAAGTGGATTAGGGGGGTGGGATGGGATCAAGCACATTTTGGAGGTGTGATGCCGACAGCTGTATGAATTGATCTTTTTATTTTTCTATTTGGTAAAGAACTCTGCTGATGGAATTTCTAGAAACAACTTGCTGAAGATCCGGAGCTGGAAGATTTGTATATCATGCTCGATAGAGTTGATATACATTGTGTGTGGACTTCAGAAAAGGTCCTCTCTCTTCTTCCGGATCCTCTGCCGGAATCGCCTCCGGGTGGAGAAATCATTAAGAATCCTGGACCTGGTGTCTTTTGTGATAATGCTATGGATAACTACATCTATCCTCTCGCCCCCAAGCCAGATGCGCCCCAGAAAGTACGCTGGCTTAAAACAGCAATGGAGGAGTTGAACAAAGTAGGTATCACGGCTATGAGCGACGCTGGTATGCGAATGGAAGATGTGAAAATTTTGCAAGAGTTGGCTAGGAGAGATGAACTGACTGTTAGAATTCGTGTTATGGCTGAGTGCGATGAGAGAAATACTTTCTGTCATCAAGAGTTACGAACGGTGAAAGTGATAAGAGATGGATCTGGTGGAGGTGATATGCTATTATTTGGAGGGATCAAACTCTTTGCGGATGGAGCTTTAGGTTCTTGGGGTGCGGCATTGTTGGAACCATATTCGGATAAACCTGAGACTAGTGGAATGATGTTGATCAACGAGACTGAATTAACGGAAGTTGTTAAGAAGGTGTTTTACTGCTTCCCTTCTCTTCTGTGCATGAGACTAACTGATTCTTCGAGTTTTACGAATGGGACTACCAAATCAATATTCATGCTATCGGCGATCGAGCTAATAGAGCTGCCATCAATGCATTTGAAGCGGCTCTGGGATCTGATTGCCATGGTTGTAACCAAGAAAAGAGGTTAAGGATTGAGCATGCTCAAATCATAGTACGTTCCACATCAACAGTTGATGCCTTTCTAACAAACTTCGCAGCATCCCGACGACCAGATTCGCATTGCAAATATGGGTATTCTTCCTAGCATTCAGCCAACACACGCCACATCTGACATGGCTTATGCATCATCCCGTCTTGGAGAAGAACGACTTTCCAATTTTGCTTATCGCATGCGATCGTTCTTCCCTCCTGTCCATAACAATACATCATCATATCCCGGTCCAGTTCTTGGTTCTGATTTCCCAGTTGAGCCACCAAATCCTTTTCATGGTATCTATGCCGCAGTAACTCGTCTCAATCCTAAAACTGGGACCTCACCCTCAGGGAAAGAAGGTTGGTATCCGGAAGAAAGTCTTAGTATTGAACAGGCAATTCATGGTTTCACGCGCAACGCGGCTTGGGGTTGGAAATTGGAAAATAAAATGGGAGCCATTGAGATCGGGAAGTGGGCGGATTGGATTGTGGTGGATGAGGATGTAATGGGGATGGAGGGACAAGGGGTGGAGAGACTGAGAAATTTGACGGTGTTGGGGACGTGGGTTAAGGGGAAGAATGTTTGGGCAATGGAGGGGGGAGAGTTATGGAACTTGATCAGCTTTATCAGAAGGGCGATAGGGTTTGGATTGGTCTGGCAAGGTTGGCAAGGAGTTTGACGAGAGGGATCAGGGAAATGTTGGTTTGGGGGAGGAAATTGGAACTTTAGAAAATAGTTTGGAAGGAGAGAGGTGGGATGTGTGGGATAAATTGTCATGGGTTAGGAGCGTGTGTAGATTGAAGGAAAATCATATCGATAAGAGAAAGGG